TATATTCTGTATAAACGTTTACTATTATTTTGGCCTCAACTGTTTATGGCCTGTTTGTGTATTTAACAGACATTGTTATTATTATTAATTCTTATTATATATTTTTGACCATTTAGTTTTGCAAACGTTTTCAGTAGAAACTAGATAAACGATGGATCGTACGATTAAGAATTGACTAGCTTAATAAGTAATAGTCTAAAATCTTTGTAAGAATTTAAGATCAGAAGATTTCAATGGAAAAAGATCTCTCCTAAAAATATCGATTCCAAATTGTTTATATAATTAAAACCAAAGATTTCCCCCCGAACTAAAATGAATCATATACATATAACGAAGAAGATTTATTTGATGTTTTTATAACAATACTTCAGAAATATGGTGAGAATTTGTTCTGATTAACTACTTCTAGAATCGGTTCATACATAAACCCAGAAACTTTCAGATTCCTGAAAAGAAATATTGGAAATAATGATATCGCCTTTACTTCTACATCCAGTATTGTGTTTCATAAGTATTTCAAATAAGTTCTTCAGCAATGGTTATACTCTAGTTCATTGGAACGTATGAATTCTGGAACTCGTTGAAAAATCTCAAAAACATAAAATTAATTAACTTAATTTCTTAATATAGAAATTGATTTCACATGAAAAGAAGTAATTTCTAATATTTGAGAAAAAAATTTTAAGAAGTGAAAAATTATAATTTTGTTTGTTATAGGAAGAAAAATATTGTAAAAAAGAAATAATATTAATAAAAAAACATCCAGTTTCCTCTTATTCAATTAACCGAGTAATTTTGAATTATCCGGTTATTAACCGGCTAACTTAAACCCACACATAATTATTTGTCGAATAAACCGAATAAGACAAAAACCCGAATAATTAAATACCCTAAAAAGCACACATGTGAATTGTAGGGCGATCAATCCACAAATGAACAAAGTTCTCACAAAGACGTATTATATAGAGATTTCTTATAGTTCGGACTAAAGTCTTGTCGAAAGTCTGGACTACAATCTTGTCGTCAATCTTGTCGTCAGTCTTGTCGTCAGTCTTGTCGACAGTCTTGTCGACAGTCTGGACTACAGTCTTGTTGACAGTTTTGTCGAAAGTCTGGACTACAGTCTTGTCGACAGTCTGGACTATATTATCTGGACTATATTATCTGGACTATAGTATTGTCTATAATCTGGACTATAGTCTTATCTATAGTCTGGACTATATATAGTCTTATCTAAAGTTGTCTATAGTATGTCTTGTCTATATTCTGGATTATAGTCTTATCTTCAGTCTGGACTATAGTTTTGTCAATAGCCTGAACTATAGCTTAGACTACGGTCTAGAAGTAAGTCCTGACTATAATTTTGTATATCTGGAGTCTGGATTATAGTCTGGACTACAGTCCATTGTCTGAACTATATAGGGTATTGTCTTGTCTATAGTCTGGATTATAGTCTTATCTGCAGTCTGTGCTATAGTCTTGTCAATAGCCTGAACTATAGTATGGACTACGGTCTGGAATTAAATCCTGACTTTAATTTTGTATATATTCTAGACAGTTGAGGGTAAACAAAAATAGTATTATCTATTGTTTAGGCTACAGTCCATAGTTTTGGACTACAGTTTTGTTCCCTTCAAGATCATAAATAACCACTCACGGAAATAACGTAATCTCAGATAAGACTATTTAGACATTTAAAGTAAATTAAAATGAGCAATTTTTGGAGCATATTTTATACTCAAGTAACAGATAATGTCCCACAAAAAAATTGTATATTCTATATAAACGTTTACTATTATTTTGACCACAACTGTTTATGGCCTGTTTGTGTGTATTTAGCAGACATTCTTATACATACAATACGTCATTTTTTAGTATTTCTTTTAATGATGAATACACTTTTTTATTTTATTCTTTAATGGGAAATTTGTAGTTGATTTCTTGTGAAATTTGTTCTTTATTTTATATTATTGACGTGGTCTGTTAAAAATATTTTTAACATTTCAGTTTTGCAAACGTTTTCAGTAGAAACTAGATAAACGATCGATCGTACGATTAAGAATTGACTAACATAATAAGTTAAATAAAATCATTAGTTAGAAGTTCAAACCTGAAGATTACAATGGAGAAAGATCAATCCTAAAAAAATATCCCCACTTCTCTGTAGATATTAGTAGAAAGATCAGACATCAAAAAGATCGAACTAGAATGTATCATATATCAAATACACCCTCCTGTCTTGCATTTGCTACGCTTTCAGTTTAAAACCATTGAACCGATTTATATGAAATTTTACATATACATATGTAGGTATATTCTGAAGCTGTCTATAGCCTATTTTAGATCTTAATGTTATGCCATCGATCAATAATAATATAATCTTAAAACCCAGAATTTTTAAATATTTTTGTGGATCTACCACTAATATTTTGATGTGTTACAAACGGAATGAGAAAACGAATATTTTATGAAGGTGAGTGATATGTGATCACTTTAAATTTTCCATAAAAATTATTTAATTTTCTGACAGATCACAAAATTTATTTGTTTTTAAAATTATTTTAATAAACATAATTTTAAATTTAGAACATGTAACGTGTATTTTAAGAAGAAGAAAATGTCAAACTGGTCGTGGCCAGTTATTTTATTATTTCATTATCACTTATTAAATTTACTGCAATTAATACATTTTATAATTAATTATTTAAACATTTAGACAGGCTTGGAAAAAAATAACAACATATTTTTGTTCAAAACACATGCCTACAGAAATGAAAGTCAAATATTTTGATAACCTAACAGATTGTATTCGTACTTAAATTGTTCAAATTCAAAGAACAAACAAATGCTAAAATAATACCAAACGCAGTTAATGCAATTCGTTTTCATCACATTTTTTTTTTTTTTTGTTCAAAGTAAATTTTGGTAAATGTTTTTTAAGGTGTTGTCGTCTTATCAAACTAGAAACAAAAAATGTACTCGCATGTTGGATTTTTGTTTTGTTAAATAGAAATTCAAAAAAATAATACAAAGATCAAGGTTTAAATAATGAAACGAATAGCACACTCGCCATGAAAGATACAAATGAATCCAAGAAAAACACACTCATTAAAATTCCTTCAAGTCCAAAAAGCCATATTAATAAAGAATATAGTATTTCAATATCAGACATACAGATAGACACAAACCAAAAATTTGAATTAAATCTTAACGGAAGTTTATGCAGGAATTTGAAGATGCTCTGTGCTATTTAGGTTTTGATTTTGACAAAGAAAATATAGGCTAAGTACATCCGGAAAGAAAAGTAATATATACAATTTTGAAATGAGTAATCAATTAAAAAATGAATTTCTTGTAAATAAAAACGAAATAAATATTATGACGTGCGCTAGAAGTCTAGACAAAATAATAAACCCATCATTGTTCAGATGGTGGTGTATTGATTTTGTCAATCCATGTGTAACATATAAAAATATTGGTCGTTTTTGAGTCCTAGCCGTTTTTGTATGGTGTAGATAACGTTCAGAAGGCACTAACTTATTAGAAATACATATTTGGAAAATAGGTAAAATCCGACAGATCAAGAAAGTTAAAATTCTGGACTGTAGTGAGACTATAATATGAACTATAGTAAGACTTAAGTCCGGACTATGGTTAGACTATAGTCTAGACTATAGTGAGACTATAGTCTGGACTATAGTGAGACTCTTGTCTGTACTATAGTGAGACTCTTGTCTGTACTATAGTGAGACTATAGTCTAGTGAGACTATAGTCTGTACTATAGTGAGACTATAGTCTGTACTATAGTGAGACTATAGTCTGTACTATAGTGAGACTATAGTCTGTACTATAGTGAGACTATAGTCTGTACTATAGTGAGACTATAGTCTGTACTATAGTGAGACTATAGTCTGTATTATAGTGAGACTACAGTCTGGACTATAGTGACACTATAGTCTGGACTATAGTGAGACCATAGTCTGGACTATAGTGAGACCATAGTCTGGACTATAGTGAGACTATAGTCTGGACTATAGTGACACTATAGTCTGGACTATAGTGAGACTATAGTCTGGACTATAGTGAAACTATAGTCTGGACTATGGTATTCGAATTTTTCAATGTCCGAGAATACACGTATATAAAATATTTCGATGAGTTAGGCTATAAGAAGACTACAGTCCGGACTACAATTAGACTGGATTATAGTGAGGCTTTAGTTGACTGGAGGAAGGCTATAGTCTTGACTATATTGAGACTATAGTCTGGACTATAGTGAGACTATATTCTGGACTATAGTAAGACTGTTTTCTGGACTATAGTGAGACTATATTCTGGACTATATTCTGGACTATAGTCTGAACTATATTGAGACTATATTCTGGACTATCGTATTCGAATTTTACAAGGACAATATTTCGATAAGTTACAAATGGAATGACAAAACCAAAGTGTTGGGTATAAAAATAATATGCTTAAAAATTCTTATGAGGTCAAGAAGGATCAGTAATAATGCACTACACTAGAGAGCAATCAGTTTAAAAAAAGTACATAAAAACATTTGCATGTAATTTCAACGTATTAAGGGGATTCATGAAACACGAGTGCAAACTCGCACATTTGCACAAATTGTAATATGTATTATTTAGAAGATAAAATTTAGTTTAACATGAATAGTTTTTTTTTAATTTTAATTGTTTTAAAAGTAGTAAACTTTTGAAGAAAAAATAATTATCAAAATCTGTGGTCTTTCAAACAGAAAACCAAGTCTGTATATTTTCATTATTATTGAGTTTTATAAGTCTCAGCTATTCTTATCCATCAACAAGGTTTTCCTTTCAGCGTGTGAATTCAGCATATGTTTATTAAAAAATAAAGACATATTGTCTCCTGTAATTATAATTTCTAGAAAATACAACATTTATGCATACTTTGTATACAAGTTTACCTTAGGCCGTTTTAACACTAGAAATTATTTTAGTTTACACTTGTATGTCATTAAAATCGTTTGTACTATATCGAGTTTTTGCGTTAAAAATTATTTTGCAAAATGGCTAAATCGGAAGAAAATATAACAACGGTTTTAAATTTATTATCAACTGATAATCCGGTATTTTGTTGTTACTGCTTTTGGGGTAGCATTTTGATAATAAAAATGTTGCTGATGTCGATATTGACGGCAATGCGACGTTTTAGGAAAAAGGTAATTCAAATGTAATCTTATCGTGATTTGTTTGTAAATCAAAACTAAAGAAAACACATTTAAATAAATGCTCAAGATTAGATTTGTCTAAGAGTCACTAAGTACTACGATCCAATATGGGTGCAGTCTTAATTCTATTCGATATGAGTTTTTAAATTTACTATACGATTCCGCCATCACATATTCAAAAAATAATTACATGCTCTGAGATTTTTTAATTTTTTCTTCCCCACAACATAACTGAGAATAGAATGGTGGTATTTTAGAGTGCAGTGTCCTTGGGTCGCAAATATCAAACAATAATAGCTTAACTGTGTTAAAAAGCACATCTTTAAATAAGCTTCAAGCATACCTATTGCCGCCCGGTTGGCAAAATTTCCAATGTCTTTAAGCAACACAACATTCTCCCCAAGTACTCAATAGCTCAAGGTGGCATAGATTTACGCCTGGAGTACTGAAGAATATTAAAAAACATACTGGCTAGTTTTTTTATTGCCAAGTCTCGTTGCTCGGTCCACTCCTTTTGAAGAGTCCTTTGAAGGAGTTCCACTCCTTTTGAGGATATAATTCCATGAAACAACCTAATTACAAAAGAAGAATATGTGATTTACCAAGAACACTCGGAAGCCATTTTTCCCCCTATTCGGGAAAGTTATTTTTTCTTATGGTCCGTCCAGAGACTACTTGATTTTAGATTTTTCTATCAGCCATTAGCGATCTTGCTGGATACTTCAACCAAGGAAATATGTATATCCTTTAGTGTTGATGTCGTTAATTTCAGCCTGTTTGCTTTGTTCTGACTACTGTTTTCAGAATGTTGACTCTCAGAGTCGATATAGTAGAAATGAATACAATGCAAGTGTCAAGTACAGTACTTCTAGTATTACCTTCAAATTGGCATGGGGCTAAGATAATGTCCCCTTCAGAAAATGACTGTAACGCTCATAGATAACAGTTTTATGAGAACTCAAATCTCTTTGAAAAATTTCATAGGAGTCGGTCCATATTGGATCCAATACTCCACATAAGTTATGCTTATATGGAGTATTGGATCAAAAACAATGTAAAGCGATGAAATTCGGCATAATCAAGTTTTATAGGATTTTTCAATATTATATGTTCGTAATTAACCTTATATATAACTCGTCTGAATAAATCATTCCAACATTTTAGAATTATGGTATAATTCGACAAAAAGTTTTTTTTAAGATTAATCTCTTTTGTTAATTCATTAAAGATTGGTTCATGAACCAAACTCGCATCAAATGCCATATTCCGAAAATCACTCTAATTTGAATATTACTGCCGATACACGATAATAAAAATAAATGGGTACATAGTGCTAGAACATGCTTTGATGGATATATAAGATTCGGCATAGCCGAATATAATACTATTATTTGGTAATAAAATAGATGATTTTGGTCGGGAAGTCATATTTTTTGTGCAAATTTTGAAAAAAATGTATTACAAATGTATGGTTAGTTAGGGCCGTTTACGATACAGATGACGCCACAACCTCTAAAAAAGTTCCCTTTTATAGGTTCTCACTTACTCCGAACCATACATGCTTAATTTAATTTTTTAGTCATACTTCCGTTATTTATTGACCGATTTTGTTGCTGATGCACGTTGAAATCTTTTGTTGCTGATGCACGTTAAAATTCGCAACAAGTTCGATGCTGTTGCCACAAAGGAGTGACTGTGGGACTAAGCGTTGGAATTGAGTTGGTATTAAATGTATGTATATGATACAGGGTTGTGCAGGGTTGAATGGTGATGGTTGAAAGGTATTTTATACAAGTGATACTATTGAATTTTCTTTCTTTGTATAGTGAAAACTCTGTTCATACCAGATTTTCCACAGTGTATTCTCTGTGATGGATTCGTACTTCGGTCTATCGGTTACATCTCTAGGTGCAGTTGCCGACTCAACAGAGGGAATCTCATCTGCGTGGTTATAAAGTGATGTTTTTGCATCTCGGAAGTTAAACAATGGCGCAGCAACGGTCAGAGATTGGATTAGTTCGGTTACTTAAGCAAAGTGCTTGTACATGGACCGCCACAGCCATGTACAAAAATTGCCACCCTCGTGTAAGATACACCCAGTGGTTGGAAAAGACCACCGTGAAATAAGGCCAACACGGCAGGTGTTCACGTAAAGCACTTCACCATTGTAAACGGAAGTGATGTTTTTACATCTCGGAAGTTAAGCAAAGGGGCAGCAATGTTCAGATATTATATAGCTCGAGTACTTGCGCTAAGTGCTTTTACATGGACCGACAGAACCATGTACAAAAATTGCCATCCGCATGTAAGATACACATAAGGGGTGAAAAACACCACCGTGAAATTAGGCCAACAAGGCAGGGGTACACGTAAATCACTTCGACATTTTTACACACACAGACGCGTCCAGACGGACGCGACTAAATCGACTCCGCTATATACATATAAGGACTCGGAATATACATATGAATATACTTTATAGGGTCGGAAAATTATATTATAGAAAACTATTGTGTATAAGGATCGGAATATTATAGAATATGTTGTACTTTTGGAACTACGACTATTCCTGGAAATAGGATGTTTGAATAACCAAATTTCTTCGACATCTGAGAGAAACAAGACAAAATAGGTCGAAATATAACTATTACTATCGGAATATGTGTAAGAAGATATTCAAAAACTAAAGTATATTCAGTTTCTTCATAAAAAATATCCTTTTTTACACAAAGATCATTTTTGTATAAAAAAGTGATCGGCTACGAATTGGATGTTACGACCAAAATACATATCACTTCTCATTGAAGTAGCAGATCCTTTATGCAATTATTTATGTTTCTTTTCTTTTTACAATTACTAAAATACCTGATTTATATTACTATTTCTTTGTTACTAAACAACTCATTACATTTGCAGTCATTCGTTAACCCTGAAGACTTGGCCTTAAATAAAGTAGCCGAACCTGTTCTTAATGATCCTGATGTAGAACGTGTAAGAAGGTAAATAACAGAAACATTATTGCACTTAAGATCAGAACTATTAACATGTAAATCTTACATTTTAGAGCTCATCTCAATGATCTAGAGAATATAGTGCCTTTTATGTTGATTGCCTTGGCCTACATAGCGATAGGACCCAAACCATTGGTGGCACGTTTGTTAATACGTTTTTTTGCACTAGCACGAATTCTACATACGATTGTTTATGCATTTCGACCTATACCGCAACCAATACGAGCAATAGTATTCTTTATTGGCTTTTTTATTACACTCTATATGGCGTTTTATGCGATGATCAAGACGATTGTGTATATTTAATTAAGTATTTTATGTATAATTTAAAAAAAAAAAAAGTATATAATTAAAAAGGGTATATGTGTTTAAAGATAGAAGAGAGAGTGTGCGGTAAAATAATTTAACAATAAAAATATTTTGTTTAGACAATTATTATTGTTTTGCATGTTTCGGTTGACATTAATAAATGCTAGTTTTTAATACAAAGATCGACGACTGTATTGTGAGCATCAGTTGAGATTAATTATACATTTTGTATATTTTAAACGAAATGTAAACAGAGATTATTTTATTTCTAGATTATTTTCACTGATTAAAATATAATTGGTAGTTAATAGAGATCAACAACGATCTGTTAGTAATTTCGGATACAGTAGCAGAAACCTTTTAGATTTGATATGTCTGTATTAATATACAAATTTAGAAATGTTTTAAAGAACTATTCTTACATCTAACTTGTAGATACTGTAGGGAGTTGTTATACTTAAGTTTAGATGAAACAATGTTTTCAAAACATGTAGGGTATTAAAAATTCGCCAAATGAAAACCTTGTCATCGTTCAAGATCATTTAACGTTATTCGAAAATTTATACAATTTTAACTATACCTTTAACTAATAATATAACAAACCAGTTTGATTAATATTCATTGCAAATTATATATTTAATATACTATATACTTCCAATTAGTTTCTGGTATATTTCACGAAATGCAGTCAAGTTTAAAACGCAAATACTATGGTCGTATAAGTCTTTCATATACGATTGCTTGAAACACAACGTCGATTTACTAAGAACAATAGATTTATTTGTAAAAAAAAAATAGAAAACATTGATTTATTTTGAACTGTGTTTGTAATTTTATTTTTAAATTTTAAATAATGATAAGTCCAACATCAACAACTACAGAATCGGCTGCAGCAGTAGGTCCATTAAATGGACATGGATTTATGAATATGTCATCTGCCTCATCAACAACAACTAATAAATTAAATTATTTTTCTATGTTGAACCTTGATAATCCCGTATTTTGTTGTTTTCTGTTTTGGACCAGTGTTTTAGTGATAAAAATGCTTTTAATGTCTTTATTGACTGCATTGCAACGTTTTCGTTATAAAGTAAGTTTCGATTGGATTTATTTTATATAAAAAATATATAAATTTTTAAGTGAAATTCATATAAATCATCTTAAATTTCAAATGCAGCAAAACAAATAAATTTTTTTAAAACAAAAAAATTTAAAACTGTTAAATTTATAAACAAATGTACGACATTTATTTGAAACAAGTACAGCTATGAAAAAATGTGAAAAATCTTTATAAAAAACTTTGCTGTTAAAACAAAGGTTTATTAAGGCCTCTCTAGTAACAGCTAACAACTATGAATGAGGCCTTTAATAACGTTTTAACATTTTATTGCGCATCTAATCCAATTCAAAGCGGAAATATCTATTAAAAATATGTATTAAACGTATTTAGACTTCGAACGCCCATTTTTGCGTTCTAGAATAATACTGAAAATAGTTATTTATCCAAACGTTATATTCGGTTTAGATTTAAATGTAAATTCTAGTTTTGGGCGAAAGTTAATGGACTGAGCGTAAGTCCTGGGAAAACGGTACCGGTATTATTTACGGAGATATAAGGTGGACAACCAAAGATAGACGGTATCGAACTATGTTCACCTAGCGGAGCTAAGTATTTAGGGACTTTCCTCTATAGCAAGCTTTCATGGAAGGAAAATACTCAGGAAATAATGAAAAAGTGACTCAATGCATAATACACATGCAAGAATTCTATAGGAAAGAATTGGGGTCTCCAACCAGATATGGTAAATTGGATTTACACATTGGTCACCAGGCCTCCTCTAACTTATGGTTGCATTTTCATGCTGGGAGGCTTTGAAAAAGGACAGGTATAGGAAGATGCTCCATAAAGCTCAAATGTGTAACATTGCAAGTGCTCCATTACAAGTGCGGCCTTCATACCTCTCATCTGTAGAACATTTTGTATCGGGTGTGACGGCCAGGAATATATTGACTCTACGAGTTTTCGTTAGTCAAACCTTCGGATACAATCATACATTCTGTACGAAGAAGATCTACTTGATCGTTGTAATTCCCCTTGCAGTGACTTTATTAGACTGTTTACCATTAGACTGTGTTGGATGCCGGGGCACTGCAATGTGTATGGATGAGGTTGTGGACGAACTGGCTAGATTAGCTTCGAACCTTGATATAGATAAAGGGATTGTAAAAACAACAATCTGTCACTAATATGGGTGGATATTCGAGAGAATCTGTGATATCATTAACCAGCCCTGGAATAGTAGTAAGGGTTGTAAAATATCAGAGGCCTTATACCCAACACTTGATGTGAATGCTACCATGATACTATAGGAATGGATAAACGCAGTCTAAGGATTCTGATCGGGATCCTAAAGAGTTATTGCTCAATTGCAGGCATTTTGCAGAATTTTTGGTTAAGCACCTAGAGAGAGACAAGGCGAAACGAAGTGTTGTCCGCAAAATAAACAATCTTCTAGTCTGGGACGAACCACAACTCTTCAGAATTTGCAGAAGTCAATAAGAATGCTAAGCCTTCTAAAGTTTTTAGCCCAGATGGAATTTCGATACTGAAGAACCTTGGCGGAGAGTGGAGTTTATGACGAAAATGTTAAAACTATCCATCAAGAGCATACTTAGGCTATCCCGACTCCTAAAAAGAGGGAAAACGCTAGCCAGGGAAAGCCATACAGGCCGATCTCTCAGTTATTAACAGTAGCGAGAACCCTTGATGCTGTTCTCCTCACCATACTGACACATCTAACAGTGCTTCAGCATCATCAGGGTTTACTGAAAATCCAAAACACACAGCATTAATAGCCATCAGCACTCAAATTTCACAAGGATTATACTAACAAAAACTCTGTAAGAGAACGGTTCTAGTGGCATTGGATCTATCAAAACCTTTTAATAGTTTTTATGGACGCTAGGGTCAAATGATGTCAGATTATTAGAAAATTGACAGTATAACATAGATATGTACATGTGAGCCAAATTCATTAAATTATGAAGTTTGATTCCAATATTTACATGAGCGGACATACAGACGGACATAGCTTAATCGATTTAGAATCAATATTTCGGGGGAATAATCAATATTTCTACGCGTTACATACATTAGCACAAATCCATTTTACTATCACACTAAAGTGGTATACATTTTTTTTATAAAAGATATTTTCAATAAAATGTAGCATATTTGGTGAAAAGTGCATACGATTCATATAGGATTCATATGACTATATACATTATCAAGGATGTAAGAATCGAAAGTTTACTTCATATAACACAAACCATGGACTATATTACTTCAACAATAAGAAAAGTACTACAACTACATTAAAAGACAATAGTAAAGATATTGAAAAACCAAATTAGTACTGTAGTCAAGTACTAAGTAACTTTTTTACTATTTTGTCAGAAAAAATATAGTTTTGCCTAATCATTTCTTTTAGCAAGTGCAATTTCATACTACTATTAACTTTGATTGATGAAAATTATAATAAAATAGTTAATACTCCAAATACTTAAGATAATATTTTTAATCAATATAAAAGTAAGTTCTAGAAAAAATTTCCTGTACATTAGAATGATAAAAAAAAATTAATTTCTAAATTACAGATATTGCGGCTATTTCCTAAAGCTTTTATAAAAAAGGTAGACTCATTAACCAAACATTATAATGACTAAATAAAAACATTAACAATTATAAGAATTAATGAAAAACTAAATATTTGTTAAAGGTTTTTCCCAATCAAGAAGATTTGTTTTTCAATAATATAGAAGTACAATTCAATGATCCTCAAGTGGAGAGAGTAAGAAGGTAAAGTGTAATCCTAAATAGACCTTATGTTCCTAATTTAAACATTTTCTATTTCTAGAGCCCATCGCAATGATATGGAAAATATATTGCCTTATTTCACTATGTCTTTGTTGTATATTTGTACTAATCCTTCAGCGGTAGTAGCTTGCAATCTATTTCGTGTAGCTGCTGTAGCTCGTGTGGTGCATACTTTGGTTTATGCCTTTTATCCGGTACCTCAACCTTCAAGAGTTTTAGCCTGGGGTCTAATGTTTGTCATTACTTTGTATATGGCCGCCGATGTTGGTTTACAAATGATCAAATATATTTAAAAAGTTTTTAAATTATAAAAACTTACGCAGAATTGTATGAATTTTATAACTCAATTTTTTGATTCTTAATATTCTTATAATTCGTGAAACAATGTAATCGAATATTGAGAAAAAGTGTAATTATAATAAAAAATATACATGAATAAAGAATTTTTTGTGTTCAATTCAAAACTACATTCAATATTTTGGTCTAAAATCCTACTCCGCTTGTCGAGATATTAAAATTTTATTTGTATTTAAGAGTTTTATTTTTCTAAAAGAAAATCTTCAATATTGAAAACTTTGTATAAGAAAATCTAAATCTATTCAACTATTGAAAATTTTCTATAAAAAATCATTAATATTGAAAACTTTTTATAGAAAATCTACAAAATTTTATATTTTTATATAAAAAATCATCAATACTAAAAGCTTCTTATAGAAAATCTTCAATATTGAAAACAATTTTTAAACAAAATAATCACTATTTAAAATTTTTTTTAAGAAAATAATCAATATTGAAACATTTTTTTAGGAAAATCATCAATATTGAAATTTTTCCTAAGAAAATCGTCAATATGGAAGGCTTCTTTCTATAAGGAAATATTCAATAATACTATCTTTAATAGCAAATTCATTTTCTTTAAGATATTTGCCAACCAAGAAGATTTGGTCTTTCACAATGTCGACTTACAATTTAACGAGCCTCATGTGGAAAGAGTAAGAAGGTAAGATATAAAAAAAATAATAATAAGAAAACTAAAAATGTACCTGTTTAACTGCTTAATTTCAAAATTCTATTATACTGCTTCTTTCTTTGTATTTCCAGAGCCCATCGTAATGATATGGAAAATATTCTACCTTATTTTACTATGTCGTTAATCTATATCTGCACTAATCCTTCACCAACTCTAGCACGTAATCTATTTCGTGTAGCCGCTGTAGGACGTATTATACATACTTTGGTTTATGCCTTCTATCCGGTGCCTCAACCCTCCAGAGTTATATCTTGGGGTTTAATGTTTGTTATTACTTTGTATATGGCAGCGGATGTTGGTTTACAAATGATAAAATACATTTAAGTTGTTGTTTTTTTCAAAGTTTGCAAGTGCTTCTTGCTTCACTTTTTCTTTTTTATGATTTTTTTAAGTTTTTTAAGAATTTTGTTTTGTTGTTTTTAGAACTAATAAACTAAAAATATACAATAAATTAAGCGTTTTTCTTTTGCGTTCATTATTAACTAAATAATGACTGACTGAGATGCATTCCTTAGAATTGTGGCACACACAAATCTGTGAATAAAATTTAACAAACATGAATCCAGATTGATAGTGAGAGGGAAAGGGGGAGGATGATATTAACAGTACGTTGCTTTGGCCAATTTGTTTAGGGATTTAAATATTAAAACCCTGATCCCGCATGCATTTCTTGTGGGCCTCTATTAAATCACCACATTCAGATTCACCCTTTTCAATAATACTGGAAAATTGTAAGAAAAAGTAATATTAGTGGGTTTTTTATTCCTATATTATCACAAATTCTTTCTCTTACCATTGATCTCTCACTTTTTTAGTTTCCGGACAGGCACAGCAGGCTTTGCACTTGGGTTTAGCTGCTGGCTGTTCGGAACCGGCATTTACAGCTGGAGCAGCAGCTTGGGCAACTTCTTTGACTGGAGCGTTTCCCATTTTTTCTGTTTGTAGAGTATGTGTTGTTGTGTAAGAGTATTCTAGAATTATTTAATAGTTTTTTTCACACAATTCGTTTGTTAAAAGTTTTTTTTTAATAAAAATTCTTCAGTTATGTTTTATTTTACTCACTATTGATTATTTAATTTTTAATTTATTTATAGATTTATTAATTTCACAATTATTTTGTTATTTTCTCAGGAATTTTTGGTATTTTATCATGCACGAGTCAAAATTAATTTGAGAATAAAGTTTCAGGGTCACTTTGCAACACTAAAATGTCATACGACCAGCAACAACTGATGACAGGGTTGGGAAAAGCATTACATATTAAATTTGTTTTGTTTAATAATAAACTGTAAACAAACATTATTTGCGATTTCTTTTAATGCATAAATGGAACAAAGGTACTACTTTAAACCACAAGTCATAAATAATGCAGTATTAACAAATTCAAGTCATTTAATTTTAGCTAGAACTTTATTCTTTTAAATCATCTCAATTGTCCATTCCTGTTTGAAAAACAAAGCAAATTTAAAAAGTACTGTATAAAAACAAACACTGCAAATTGCAGGGTGTTTCAGATATATACATAAAACGAAGTAAATTCAAAAATAAATAAAAGTAAAATTTCGAATTTCAAAATTTAATTATCAGATCTTTCTTTAAAAATGTATCAAAAAAGTTTCTATTAAAATCATTAATATTTAAAATTATCTATAAGAAAATGGTCAACATTAAACATTTTCTAAAAGAAAATCATAAATATTGAAAACTTTCTATTACAAAATCTGCAATATTGAAACAGTTTATATACAAGAATAATACGTCTATATATGTATAAATTTTTCTAAAAATAATCAAAATACAAAGCTTTCTATAAAAATTTTTCCATAAGCAAATCATTTTGTATAAAGAAAATCATCAATATTAAATATTTTCTGTAAAAAATTATCAATATTGAAAATCATTTATATGACAAACATCAATATTGAAAATTTTCTATAAGAAAATCATCTATATTAAAATTTTTCTATAAGAAAATCATCTATATTGAAAAATTTCAATAAAAAATCATTAATATTAAAAATTTTCTATAAGAAAATCATCAATGTTAAAATTTTTATTAATTTTCTATTAGAAGATTATGAATATTGAAAATGTTTTATAGGAGAATCTGCAATATTTGAAATTATTAAAAAAAACTTCAATACTGAAAATTTCCTTAAAAGATCTGTAAAAAAAACTCTATAAGATTTAAAAATGTCAAAATTAGAAATCATTTTTTAAAATTGTCATATAAAATACCTGAATACCTTTTTCAAGTTTATTTAACAAAACTAAAATTAAAACCACTTCGAGGAAAGTTATACACCAATTCTAATAAAAAGCCATGGCCAAACCAACAACTATCAAAGAAGCTATAACCAAATGGGAAGAACGTACCCAACAAGATTCCACCAAAGCCACTGAAATTGGTTTACAATTGCAGTTTCCGCCCATAGAAAAAATGGATGGCACATTGGGTACATTCACAGAGTGTCGAAAATTAAGTTTATCAACAAATATGATAGAGAAAATAACAGGAATAGGAAATCTGAAAAATTTAAAAATTTTATCATTGGCCAGAAATAATATCAAAGCGCTAAATGGCATAGTGAGAAGAAATCTTTAGTAACATAAAAAATTTGTTACGAAACAAAAATTCTGTAATTCTAGGAACCTTTAGCTGAGACTCTGGAGGAGTTGTGGGTTAGTTACAATGTCATAGAAAAACTTAAGCCTTTGGAGGTAATGAAGGCTTTAAAGGTGTTTTATGTTTCCAATAACTCAATTAAAGACTGGTCCGAATTCAATAGAATGGGTGTACCTCCCAAGCTGGAAGAGATTACCTTCATGGGTAATATTTTATATGAAAATATGGATGAAGCCGCTTTTCGCACGGAAGCTATAAGACGTTTGCCAAATTTAAAGAAATTAGATGGAGAACCGGTTATAAGAGGAGATTAGTTTTTGTGTTTTAAATATAACATTTTATTTAATTTTTAAATATAACTCTTAACAAGTTTCCATGGATTCTTCTTTGCTTTGAGAGGAGGTGGAGGCGTTTTCAGTAGCTTCTGTTTGGGAATTACCTTTCTCCTCATATTCCTTTTTAAGTCTTTGCAGCATATTATAAGATATTAATTCTACCTTAAGATGTTGAACATTTATGGCACTGCCATCCCAATCCAGTAGCGATTTAAATTTAACGGGGTCACAAAGATTTAAAAGTTCTAAAATGTAACAAAAAGTAACAATTCAATGTATATATAGAAATGAAGTAATTCTTATTGTAGCTTACGCATTCCTCCCGTTTTATATTCTCCAGTCTCTCTTTCCAATGTAATTTTAATCACATCTTGTCTAGCAACATGCTGATGTGAACGATTTTTACTTATAGACTGTTTCAAAGCAATTTGTTCTAACTCTTCATCGAATCTTTTCAAATACAATTCGATAAGTTCCTCAAATTCATGTGGTGTCAGAGGTTGTGTTCTTCCTTCTTCGATATGTTCTAGAAACCAACTTAACTTTTCTCCCATTATATTCGATTTGATGGCATGACCCATTCTCTGTTTGTGTTTGTTATTTTGCCGGCGCGCTTTTTTGCTGAGAGCTTTGGTCTTGCGACTGTTGGGATGTTTACATTTTTCTAATTCTTTGCGTAAATTTGTCTATAACAAGAATTAATTATAATTAGCAGAATTTTTAAAGAAACTTTAGCAATATTTACCATTTTTATGAATTTTGTGTTGTTTTTTTCTTGTATTTGTTTTACACGTGTAGTTTGTTATTGTTTTGATGATATAGTTTGACAGCGGATAAAGTCAAAGGCAAGTGATAATTTTAACGGCGGCATTTGTAAGGAAAATGAGAAAGACTTACACTGAAAACTTGAGTCAATTAGTTTGAAATTAAAATATAGTAAATTGAATTAAAATATGTCTCCCAACTAAATTTTGTAATAAAAATTATATAAATAAATTATATTTTTAAATATTACATTTAAGCTTAATTTAAAAAATGTGCAGGCTAACTAACTAACTAACTAACTAACTAACTAACTAACTAACTAACTAACTAACTAACTAACTAACTAACTACTAACTAACTAACTACTACTAACTAACTAACTAACTAACTAACTAACTAACTAACTAACTAACTAACTAACTAACTAACTAACTAACTAACTAACTAACTACTAACTAACTAACTAACTAACTAACTAACTAACTAACTAACTAACTAACTAACTACTAACTAACTAACTAACTAACTAACTAACTAACTAACTAACTAACTAACTACTAACTAACTAACTAACTAACTAACTAACTAACTAACTAACTAACTAACTAACTAACTAACTACTAACTAACTAACTAACTAACTAACTAACTAACTAACTAACTAACTAACTAACTAACTAACTAACTAACTAACTAACTAACTAACTAACTAACTAACTAACTAACTAACTAACTAACTAACTAACTAACTAACTAACTAACTAACTAACTAACTAACTAACTAACTAACTAACTAACTAACTAACTAACTAACTAACTAACTAACTAACTAACTAACTAACTACTAACTAACTAACTAACTAACTAACTAACTAACTACTAACTAACTAACTACTAACTAACTAACTAACTAACTAACTAACTAACTAACTAACTAACTAACTAACTAACTAACTAACTAACTAACTAACTAACTAACTAACTAACTAACTAACTAACTAACTAACTAACTAACTAACTAACTAACTAACTAACTAACTAACTAACTAACTAACTAACTAACTAACTAACTAACTAACTAACTAACTAACTAACTAACTAACTAACTAACTAACTAACTAACTAACTAACTAACTAACTAACTAACTAACTAACTAACTACTAACTAACTAACTAACTAACTAACTAACTAACTAACTACTAACTAACTAACTAACTAACTAACTAACTAACTAACTAACTAACTAACTAACTAACTAACTAACTAACTAACTAACTAACTAACTAACTAACTAACTAACTAACTAACTAACTAACTAACTAACTAACTAACTAACTAAATAATAACTAACTAACTAACTCAAAAAATTTTTAAATGTACAATTTACGGTAAATGCTATTTTTAATTAGCGATTTCTTAATTCGTACAAGTTGACAACATTGAAGGAAGTGTTAAAAAATATTTCGAGAGTGTACTAAAATCTTAAATTCAAATTGAATTGGCCAAAAATTATATACTGTTATTTTTTAACCATCGATTTTTTAATGCAAATAAATTTTTTATAATTATTTAAAAAAAAATTTATATATTTTTAAATTTACTATTCTGTCATATCAAACTCTCTCCCTCTCACTTTCCTCACACTTTGTTTCGCAAAAGTATCTGAAAATCAAACAAGTAGTAGGTACGCAGTGAGTAGGTTATTATTTTGTTTTGTTCACAAGTCACTGAAAGTGTAAAGAATCTGCGAAATTTGCCATTGAAATTTATTTAGTTGCTAGCGTTTTCTCAACTTTGACGGACACGTTTTCTACTCAAGATATTGAATCGAGAAAAAAGCAAAAATAATCAGTTGTTAATTAAAAAAAAAAATACCCCATATTAAGCTAATCATTTGTGTTCTCTGGGTGAAAAGTATCTGAATATTATAATAATATATTAAAATGTCTTCCTATATCTTGAGAAACGGTAGTACCGCAGCCATACTGAAGAAGTATTTACCACGTCAACTTAGCAACAACAGTTTAAATAATGTAATTTATTCATACAAATATAAATTAATTAAAAACTACTTAATTTTAATATAAAAACAACATTTGCTTAACATATGTTTAATTATTACACAGTTATAAAAACATAAAAGATATAAGTACTTTTTTAAATTTATTATATTACATAATTGTGCAAATAATTCCAAAGAGTGTATGTGAATGGAGAAAAAAAGAAAAATATAAAAATCTGACAGTTTAGCTAACTATTCGAACTGTCAATTTTGCGTTTTTTAGTGTCTTCATTCATGAGCAAAAAATACAATAACAAAAAATATAAGTAAACATGTGTTATCAGTGATCTCTCATTTTTTGCCTTAAAAAATTATACTCACTTTTTTCCAGTTACAAAATTTTAGTGTGAGTCTAGTTAATAGATAATGTGTGTTTATTAAACAAGTTCTTATTGTTGTTGTTGTTGTTATTTACAACAAAGTTCTGTGTTTTGTTTTGATTCACATGATTTACATAGAAAGAATAAACGAATAAAGAGAGTATTCTTCAAGTGTTTTTTGTTTTTTTTCTTAAGAACATATGCGAAACATATTTAAGGAAAATATTTCAACATTTTAAATACAAAAACATACCTTTCTTGACCTTGGATAAATATTTATATTTTATAAGGAACTAAAGTCCATAATTATTGTTTATTTGTGTAAATATCTAAAATTTATTTTAAGGTTGTAATGATAATTACCTGCCTATGCCCATTTAATTTTGCGTAAAAAGTAATTAGTGGTGTGTTAAAAAAAATGTGGTGAATTTGAAAAGTATTTGTCTAGAAGTTAATTAATGTAGTGATAACGACTTTTAAATATAAATAACATGAAGGTGTGACTTCATTTAAAAATTATTTAAAATTTGATAATAAATCTGAAATAATTAGCCAAAGAGTAGACATAGAAGGTATTGGATTTCTCAAATTAAGAATTTATTTTAGAAATCATTTCATTTTACTATCGAACTTCACATCCAATTTATAGATAATCTATAAATACACAAATTATTCAATATTTTTCATAAATAGCACCGTTTCGAAACGGTGAAAAGATAGCAGTATCGGCATTTCAATTTGTTTTGGCATATTTCGGTAACGGTATCTTTGTGTTATCGGTTTTTAAGCTTATTTCGATATTGCCGTTTTAGCGTTATCGGAATTTTGGCTTATTTCGGTAAAAATGTGAAAAATTCATACTATTAAGAAAATTATTCTTAAATAGTATAATTTAGTCAATGAAAACAGAACATAGTAGGTATTTATGTTGGATTTTTTTTTTCTATATTGTCACCTTAATATATAAAACGCGTGTCTAACAATCGTATTAAAAATCGGCATTGGGTGAGTTACCATAGGATATATAGCTGAAATATTTGTATTTGTACTTAATATAGACCAACCATCGAACTTTTTTTCTTTTGTTTACACAACATCGTGTCTGATGCCGAACAATTCGTATTTGGAGCTGCTCTAGGTGACGGATCATTCTGATATACATACATATGTACCTTGTAATGATATTCATGATGAGGAAACTGAAATTATAATGTTCATTTATTATTATATGATTATATGTTCATTTTAGGGACTTTTTTAGCCATTCTATATATATAAATATATATATATATATATATATATATATATATATATATATATATATATATATATATATATATATATGACTTAGTTCATGTTGCGGTTTTCATGTGAGGCACTTCGATTGCTTGTAATAGTAAGAAGAAGCTATTAGGAGCGAACAACAGGACCGATAGCTGTCCAGGTGTATATCTTTGGATATATATCTACTAGAAGCTATCACAATGAGATCGATGAGGAAAAATTAAACATTGTACGATTTGGAGGATATTTTCAGAGTTTGTAATTATAAGAAAGATTCATTCATTTGAGCCTTGGGCTAGTTCGATTCTATACTAGGATATACATATATTCAAACGTAATCTGGGAAAGGCTCCGACTTGACCCACTATTAGTTAACATAAAAGTACCATTTTATGGACTCAAGTGTGTAAATAATTGACTGTCCTTATAAGTGTCTTTTCATAACTGAATACATATTTTATTAACGCGAAAAAACTTTGTTTCTATTAACGAAACTCTGGAAACTGCACAATATATAAATTACAATATTAAGAATGAAACGAAAATCAACCTCCTTCTAACCTGGTTATTCTTTACAGGCTACCGTTACTGGTCAATTTCGTGCCTTTCACGTGACACCATGCTTGGAAAAGGTAGTGTCTTTCAAACTCAGTGATATTGGTGAAGGTATACGTGAAGTTACTGTTAAGGAATGGTAAGTTAATGATGAAAAATATCCTAAAAATTCATAACAAACATTATCATTACTTCTTCACCCCCACAAGGTTCGTCAAAGTTGGAGACACTGTTCAGCAATTCGATAATTTGTGTGAGGTACAATCGGACAAAGCCTCCGTCACTATTACCAGTCGTTATGATGGTAAAATTCTAAAATTGCATCACAATGTCGATGACGTTGCATTGGTGGGTAAAACATTGTTGGATTTTGAAGTTGAAGATGAAGAAGACGATTCTGATAGTTCTGACTCGGAAGATGAAAAGGAGAAAACTCCCGTTAAGAAGACTGAAAGCGAGGTTGCCGCCAATCCTAAGCAAGCTACCGATGAGGAAGTTAACCGCAGCATTACATTGGCCACACCGGCTGTTCGTCGTATTGCCAAGGAAAACAATGTGGATTTGTCGAAAGTAACACCTACCGGTAAAAATGGTCGTGTCTTAAAGGGTGATGTTTTGGAATATTTGGGACAAGTACCACCAGGCACTAACATTCCTCATCCTACCATTGCGGCCAAGGCTGGTGCAGCTGCTGCCGCTAAGGCCAGTGCTCCAGTTCCAGCTGATCGTGTGGAACCCTTGAAGGGCGTACGTAAGGCTATGTTGAAATCTATGTCTGAATCTTTGGTAAGTTAGAACTTTTTAACATATATGTATAGAGAACTGTAATTGAACTTTTTCGGTTTGTGTTCCCTAGAAAATCCCCCACTTTGCTTATAGTGAT